TATATATGTGTGTGTGTGTGTGTGTGTGTGATATAGTGTCACCAGTGCAGTTATCCTTTGATAATTGAATTGATTAGGGAGGGAACTCATCAATGATCAAACAGGTAAACAGGTATAATGTTTGGTTGTTGTAAAATTTACGAAGAAAAAAAAATATTAAAATTTAATCAAAATAACTTACTCATTAATTTTCGACAAGTTATTTTATATGCTCTGTCCGATAGACTCAATCTCAACCTCGACCTTTGTAAACCACCAAAATATAATAATAAAAGAAAATATTTTACCTAAAAAAAGAAAATATTTTCTGAGAAAAATATGGTAAAATGATTTTATTTTTTCGAATTATGCATGTCTATTTCATTGTTCATTTATTTCTATTTTGGTGTGAAAAATTAGTCTAACATATATACATATTATCATATATATAAATAAGAATATACATATATAAGTTTATTGCCACCAATTTGAAAATGGTGGAGTGATCATAAATTTAATTAACATGCCTTGGCTGCTAATAAAATTAGCCAATTCAATGCAATGATCATTGCCGGAAATTGTTGATTCAGTAACTAAGTTGCATATTCATTTAAACTACTTTTCTTTAGACTTCTAAATATATAGAAATTGCCAACATTGATGTTTATTAAGTACTGCAATTGAATATAGGATCAATTAATTATAAAAACTAACAATTATATTCATTGAATAACGATTATATATACTCAATTCAGTAAAACTTTCTTTGCAACTACTTGAATTTGCTGCATGAGTTCTAATTTTTCATTTTGCTCTATCTAAGACTATAGTCTCATTCAAATTACTTGTCACCATATTTTTTTCTTACAAGCTCAATTCACGTTAAATTTTATTTATTTATTTATTTTTGGGTAAATACTTTTGATATTTCCATTCCCCTAACAGAATATGTCACTCCTCCATATTTTTTTTTCACATGTACGGATCTGCTTAATCTACCATCTCTCATTTTGATTTTTATCTCAATTATAATGTTCAATTATTTTGTTGACAATCATTAATAATGTACAATGTTGTTGCTTACAAATTATAATTTTTTTCTTTTAGATTTATATTGAAGTTGTGTTTAGACATGGAATTAGAAAAAATTTAAATTCAATTTATTTATTTATTTTTCTCTAAATCAACCAATAAAATATTAATAAATTGTGAAGTAAACCGAAGCCCATTGTGGACGGTGACAATGGCAGCGGCACCCTTTGAGGACGTGATTAGTGACTCTTCGTTAGGTGTAAATTGTAATTATATTATGTTCACTACAAACCACTACAGTTTTTTTATTTTTATTTATTTATATATTGAAGTACATTTTTATATATTGGAGTACCTCTTTGAAGGAGTATTATCCGTGTTGTGTTTGTATCGGATACTGACATTTGTCTATACTAATTTTAGCTCAGCCTTCAAAAAAAAAAAAATTATTAATAGAATTAGCCCACCTACACAAAGCTCAAGTCAACTCAGCTGCTATACTACAATAATAAAGGTCCAAGTCAAATAAGTCCAGATCCGTCTAACCCAAGGCGATTGCCTAGGGACTCAAAATTTATAGGCCGATGGATGAATAAGTGATTAGAGAGGAAAGGATAAGGTACTCATAAGCACAACAATCGAACTACTCTAATATTATTCTTACGGTGACAATTTATTGCTAAGTAAAAAACATTTTAAGGAAATAATAAATCCTATTCAATCATGGTTTTAACTTCCCAAAAGCACTATAATGGCATATAAATAAGTGGTAACATTTTGGACCAATAAGAATTGAACATTCAACTTTTCCTATCCGACTCATGACCTAGAGCCAACCCCAACTGTCCACACCTATGAAGAAAACGTAATCAGACAAATTTTCAACCATTCAATACTGTTCTTAAAATGCACACGAATAACTATTTTAAACCGTCTGATTCACTTTTACTCCCACATCTGCATGCTCTTATGAATTTCGGCCTCCAGAAAAAATATATATATATTTTTAGGGCAAATCATTTCAGCCTCCCCAATCGCCTCCATCGTTATACTCGTTCTCAACTCTGAACTTGCCCTCTCTCTATCCGCAACTGCAAAGTACAAGATCTACAAGAATCAGAAGTTCAAAACCCATATATTTCAGTTTATCTATCTGTCTGCAAGACTCAAAAGTTCAAGACCCATATCGGCATATCATTTCAGATTGTTCAAAAAATCAAAACCCATATCCTTCAGTTTCCATCGCCCGCTGTTCCAGTTCGGGTTCGCCGTTCGCAAGCTTCGGCCGCTGGCCCGCTGTCTCTCAAATCTCAAGCTTGCCCCCCCTCCCTCTCTGCAACTGCTAACTTGTATGTATGGGTTTTGTTTTAATATTTTTTTCTAAATCAACGTCTGTTATTCTTGTTTTGCAAACTAAATCCTATTTGGTGAAATTTTTTATGATCTTTTTATATATATATATTTACAAGCATTTTGAGGTAATCTACATTTTATTTCAGCACAACAAATAAACTTTTTTTTTTTTTTTTTAATTTCTATAACTTCTATTTCCGTGTTTTTTTTTTTTTTTTTGTCTATAAGAAAATTTGAATCTGGGCATGAAAAAAGAAAAAAGAAAAAAAAATTCTGATTGGATTAGAAATCTGCAGAGATTAAATCTGAAATAATTTTTATCAACATGCCAAGCTTCTTGAAGATCATAACAAGAACTTTGACAAGCAAAAGTACTTAATATAGGGTAAAGCTCTAAAGTTACTTCTTGAAAATTAAAATACTTACAAAAAGCATGCTTTTGAGTGAATTCCATAGTGTTCGAAGGGGCTTGCCAGGAACTACCTCATACTCTGCTTCCACTAGTAGATTCTGAAATAGGATTAGTAAATTGGTCAAAAGAAGAGATAGGATACTGAGTGGTGAATTGTTCAGAAATAAATTGGTAATTTTTTTTTATTAATTACCCAAATTGGATTTTCTATGCCTTAATCAGTCATTTGTCTAAAGAAACATTGTTAGTTAACTAAAATTGAATTAAACAACCGTTGATTTTGGTTGATATATATTGATTTAGCCCACCCCATTGAGAAATACTGGATGTGAAATACAATTTGTGTAATGCATGAAGGATATATTCAATCTTTCTGCCATATTTTTGTTTTCAAATTTTGGTTTTTGATTTTATTTTGTTATTAGAATGCAGAATATCAGGATATCGATTTGTTAATTTTGAAGATTATTCCTAAACTGATGCATTGTACTTTGTTATTGGATTAATTTAACATAAGAGCTGAGTATAATATGTGCTAATCACACCTATCCGTAATCACACCTCTTTCTATGGATAAGTGTCCAACATTTTGACTGAAAGCATATTTGGGTTGGGTTGGGTTGATACATGATACGGATTGTTGGTGTTTTAATTGTTATGAGTGAGATTGTGAAACCTCTTCCTCACAACTTGAGTGTTTTCTTATTTTCAGGGTTAGCATTGGGCCTTAACCTTTAGCAAGAACAAGGTTCAAGAAACGTGCCTCCTCAGTCATCAGGTAACAAACTCATACTTTTTCTAAAATTTTAATTGGCATTTTTAGCTATTGGTTACGTATATTTATTCATGTTTTACGTACTCATGTTTTACGTACTGATTGTTTGTTTTTGTTATTGTTTCTACATACATATATATAATATTGTTATGATGTGATGCTCGAACAATTTATTAATGGGAATTAAAGACTTGGAAGTTTAATTTTCAATTTCAGAATATATGTTTTACAAGTTTATTAATGCTTTTAAAACTTTTCCTCTTTTGTTCTAATAATATAGGTCTCTTTCCTGAAAGAAGAGAGTTGATTGGCATGGGAGGAATAGGAAAAAAGGAAATAGGTATGTTTTTTTTTTGCCCAGCTAATTGAATTATATAAATCCTCTTACCGTTGTAGCAATGATGTTGGTTTTAAAATGACCAATTATGATAGGAAGCCTCTTTTTAGTTTATCTTAATCAGATATATATCTATGCAAGTGAATTACGTGATTCTAGATATTTAGGACTTTAAGAAGCACGAAGTTTTGGTTCGATCATTTTTCTTTTTCTCTAAATACATGTCTGTTACTTTGGAGATATATGAATTGTTTGCTACTAAGTACCTATATATATGGAACATGAATGCTCATATTCACACACACACATATGGCTAATTGCTTCAATTCTACTCTTTAGCTTGGATGTTCCGGTTAGTACATATAACATGTTTCATGAATTTTTTTTTTTAATTGCACGTATATACACAATATGTGTAATTTAAAATTTTCGCTTTTGGGTGTAAATTTCTTGGTCAAGATAAATATATAAAAAAAATTGCTTAGTTGTTCTGACATTTCTTTTCCCCACATTGTTTACTAATCTTAGATTATTGCCAATGCACATCACAATTAGATGTTTTGAGTGAAGCTGCCACATATGGTGTGAGATTGGTGGCAGGTGAACAGACTTGTACTTCTTCTTAAAATAATTGTGTATAATTGTGTTTATATGTACGTAAATGTCCAAAACCATGAATTTCCACTCCACTCTTGTTGATAATTTTTTTTCTTTTTTTTCTAAATACATGTCTGTTACTTTGAAGGTATATGAATTTTATTTATATTAGTATTTTTATTTAACACTAAATTAGAAATAATTTAAACATATTTAATGATCAGTAATTTGTATTTGATATATAATATTTTTAATACTAAAATGCGTAATGGTAGTGACGCCTAATGACTGACTAAATACATTTATTTACATGACTCTTCTTGTACAAGAGAAAAACAATGAGCCGTACTTGTTTGTGGCGACTGCTACGAATTGTGGATTTTGGCTCTTGTACGCCAGTCCTGGGTTTCATCCAGATGATGGGATATTTTATGTGAATTCATTTGGCCTTTCCCTTGAATTACTCTATATCGGCACTTTTTTAATGTTTTGGCACTAATGTCAGAAGGGTAAGTATTCTCTTGTTACTTTATGTTATTTAGTTACTTCTAAAATTACTTGTTTGGCATGTTTGCTATATACTGTAATTAATTGGAAGAATTATAATAAAAATCAACTTCTTACCCCAAGGAAGAATTCAGAGATTCCTACAGCAGGATATTCTCTCTTGAGCTAGACCCAAATGGTAGTCAGTATCTTATTTGGTGGAATAGGTCTGAGTGATACTGGACTAGTGGGGCTTGGAATGGTCATATTTTCAGTTTAGTACCAGAAATGAGGTTGAATTATATCTATGATTTTAGTTATGTTAACAATGAAAATGAGAGTTATTTTACCTATTCTCTTTATAATCCTTCAATTTTTTCTAGATTTATTATGGATATTTCAGGGCAAATTAAACAACTCACTTGGTTGGAAACTACAAAGGAATGGAATTTGTTTTGGTCTCAACCAAAAGAACAATGTGAATTTAATGCTTATTGTGGGTTATTTGGTGCCTGCAATCAGATTATTCAACCCTTCTGTAATTGTTTGCATGAGTTTAATATTAAGTCCATGGATGATTGGAATTTGAGTGATTATTCTAGCGGGTGGGAGAGAAATATTGTACTGCAGTGTGGGAATACCAGTACTGCAAATGGGGAACAAGATTGATTCCGGAAAATCCACACATGGGATTGCCTCAAAATCCTCAATCTTTGCCTGTTGGGAGTGACGCAGAATGTAAATTAGCCTGCTTGAATAACTGTTCTTGCAGTGCTTATGCAATAAGATTTTTTTTTTTTTTTGCCTTCCCTGTATGTATATTATTTGTACCTGTCATGTTGCACAAACCTATTATGGCTATAGATAATAAGCGTGGAGTTTGTAAATATCATTGCATATATATATATACATGTTTATAAGTTATTTTCTAAATTTTCAGAGAAACCTGTTTATTGGTGTTGGAGTGATTAGTCTTCTGGTTACCATGCTGATGGTAGCGTCTAATGCATTTGAGAACCTAGATAACAAAACCTATTATGTGTGATGGGTCTGCACGGTTTTTCCTGTGATAATGTACTGCACTCCAATTCCAATTCCAACAGTAGAATGCTGCTATTTTCTTTTATCTACTTATTTATTTATTTTTTCTTTCCATTTATTCAATCTTATTTTATTTTTTTATTAGTGGCGGGTACTTCAAACTGAGAGTTTTGAATTTATGCCAATTATTCCAGCTTTGGCGGGGTGCATCAATTCTATCACTTCGTTAGTAGATTCTGTGCTGGTGGGCAATTGGTTTGTCACAGTACATTCATAGCTTGAACTTTGTTTTAAGGTTATTAAGGTAGAGAAATTAGTGATTTAAACTAACAAGTTAAGTATATTCTTGAGTGGTTTGTTATTTGCAGGTTCCTAGTGTTGTGGGAATAGTCTCTACAGTGGGCCAAATCACCATTTACCTCATCTACAACAACCATGCTCAGAATTGGAATTGGTTGAACCTTCCACTTCTTACTGGGGAGAGGATGCAGAGGATGACGGGGAGAGGAGAGATGAGGATGCAGAGGATGTCGGAGAGAGGAGAGATGAGGATGCAGAGGATGACGGAGAGATGAGGATGCTTTGTTTTACTTGTCAAATGCTACCGACGGACTAGCAATCCTGCTTTCATAATTTGATTCGTGGTAGTTGTTTCATGTTCTCTGCATTTAGGAAGATTTAAATTGCTCTCTTCTCAAATTTCCATGAAAAAACTATTTGTATGGAAGAGGCTATTGTAAATATTAGTTTAAGAAATCTCCTAAATTGTACTATTTTCTTTCTTAAAAAAAAAAATTATTGCAATTTTTTTTGGGATTCATAGAATACTATTTGTATATAAGAGGCTATTCTAAGGATAATCATTTCAGCAATTCTCATTGGATCGAGATTTTTTTGTGATGCTCTTTGGATTCCCCACTGAGGATACAAGCTCATTAGAATCCTTATTTAGCTTTTTTTTTGTTTGTTTCTAAAATTTTAAATAGCTTTATTTAGAAAATTGAACGCAGGAGACAAAAATCAGATTTTGGGCTGTTGGAAGTTTTTCTTAATTTTGTAGTCAACCTTGAAATGACTGTGTGAAGCATAGAATTAAGGGTTTGGTCTTGCATTTGTGTTTTGCGTCATGCTAAGACTAAACAATGCCACTTGCCAAGCTATAATTGATATGTGTATGTTTGATGAGAATGAGTGAAGCTGGCACTTATATGTACCTAAATGTCCAAAACCATGAATTTCCACTATACTGTTGTCGATAATTTTCTTTTTTTTCTAAATACATGTCTGTTACTTTGAAGGTATATGAATTTTTTGCTACTAAGTACCAATATATATGGAACATGAATGCTCATATATATATATATATATATGTTTGTTTTTTTGTTTATTCATTAATTTAATTACTCGATCCTCTCCATTCTTATACCACTTGCTGTATCTCTTGCCTGACACATGCATTTTTTTACTTATCAAGATTCAAGACTAGTAATCCTGCTTCCATAATTCGATCATTTGGTTGTTTCATGTTTCAGGCACACTTTAAAAGCATATAGACCAATACATGGAGCTTTCCATTCTACCTTCCTAATCAAACTACTGTGTGGAAAGTCTTAGAGACTTAATATGGCTATGTCAAGATATCGGCAACAACCACCTGCAAGACGAAGCCCTTAGAATCTTGAAAAACGGTTCCTTCGTCTCCAAAATTCATGGAAACTGAAGATGAGGCATTCTTAACACACTGCAACTCAAATAGACCGGAAGGAACCCAACATAAATCCGCCGGGCGGCAAAGAGCCCATCACAAGATGTGCAGTGAAATAGGCAGAAAGCTAATTCGGAATGTAATCCACCAAACCATTCAAATCCATAGTCACTGATGGGCCTTCTTTAAATGGTCCACGGATCATAGCACACACAACAAGTGGACCTGCTGGTAAACAATTCTCAGCATGGGCCTGAACAGCCCAAGATTCGACCATAAATGATGCAAGAAAATGGGTCTGGGCTGCAGAAAACAAAGAGGCCCACCTATGGGCATTAGTTGGTTCGGCTCCTCAATAGCTCTCAAACGGTAACCGCCAAAAAATATCTTTGTCATTGTACGTATCACCTGGGATCAACATTTTATTAGCTCTTACACATTTTTCTTAAATAAAAAAAAAAAAAAAAAACTTACTATGAGCTAATTGCTTCAATTCTACTCCATAGCTTGGATGGATGTTGTTCCAGTTAGTACATATTAAATGTTTCATGATTTTTTTTTAATTGCACGTATATACACAATGTGTAATTTGTCGCTTAGTTCTAAAATTTTCACTTTTAAGAGCATTAGTATAAATTTTCACACTGTATGTGTAAATTTCTTGATCAAGATAATAATATATCTATATATATATGTATCATTTTTTATATCCATATATAGAAGTTGTAACTTGTAACTAGAACTGGTATTTTTGAGACAAGAATTTATTTATGCAACAAATGCTAGTCACATGTTTATCGCGTGACCATATTAGCTCACATGTTACCTTCTGAATTGGTTCATTTGATATACTATTAATCACAGGGAGTAGTTTTGATAGAGGGCTTTCGGTAATTCGGATTCAAACACTGGGTTCGGCTCGTCTTCGGAGCCCAACCACCCAAACCCAATTATTATATATATGCATGTCTATTTCATTGTTCATTTATTTCTATTTTGGTGTGAAAAATTAGTATAATATATATACATATATATATATATATAGGAATATACATATATAAGTTTATTGCCACCAATTTGACGTTACCATTAATTTAATTAACATAAATTACCCAATTCAATGCAATTACCATTGTCGAAAATTGTTGATTCAGTAACAAAGTTGCATATTCATTTAAACTGCTCTTCTTTAGACTTCTAAATATATAGAAATTGCCAAGATGTTTATAGGATCAACTAATTATAAAAACTAACAATTAGGCTATTCATTAAATGACGATTCTATACCCAATTCAATAAAACCTCCTTTGCAACTACTTGAAGTTGCGCATGAGTCTTAATTTTTTATTTTGCTCTATTCAAGGCTATAGTCTCATTCGAATTACTTGTCATCATATTTTTTCTTATTAGCTCAATTCATGTGAAATTTGATTTTTTTTTTTCCTTTTATTTTTGGAGTAGGTACTTTTGATATTTCCTTTTCCCTAACAGAATCATGTCACTCCTCGGTATTTAGTAATTTTTTTTTTCACATGTGCTTATCTTCTTAATCTACTATCTCTCATTTTGATTTTTATCTCAATTATAATGTTCAATTATTTTGTCGACAATGATTAATAATGTACAATGTTGTTGCTTACAAATTACAATTCTTTTTCTTTTAGATTTATATTGACATTGTGTTTTGTCACATAGAATTGGAGAAAATTTAAATTTAAATTTATTTATTTATTTATTTTTCTCTTAATCAACCAATAAAATATTAATATATTGTGAAGTAAACCAAAGTCCATTGTTTACGGTGACACCGGCAACGGCACCCTTCGAGGACATGGTTAGTGTCTCTTTGTTAGTTGTAAATTGGAATCATATTATGTTCACTACAAACTACTAAGATTTTTTATTTTTATTTATTTTATATACTGGAGTACATTTTTATATAGTGGAGTACTTCTATGAAGGAATTGTAATTTGTCCGATACTCTTCGGATATGTGTCTGACACTTCATATACATGTTCACAAATAAAAATACATTTTTATTACTTTGGACACTTTCTGGACAAATTTTTATTATTCCGGACACTTTGTCACACTTTCTGTACTCAACACTCTAAAACATTTCTAACACAAGTTTACCCTATAAGTTTAAAAATGATATGAACACATTCCAAACCGAAGTGTTAAAACTTTTTTCTGTAAGATAAAATGATATTACAAAAATAATATTTGTTCATTTACAATAAAAACACTATTACGAAAAAAATAGTGAAATAATTATATATATAATATAAAAGTCATTACAGCTATTAGTATAAAAATAAAAAAAATAAATTAAAGTTTTATACTTATATTATTAATCAACACATGCATATAAATAAATTCATTTTTATATTAATCAATTCATTTTTTATTTTTATATTAATAGTTGCGTCTATACATAGGGCAGAGGTATCTGTGTTTCCTATCTGGCAATCAATATTTACTCGGCCCAGAAACATTTTTTTGGGGAAGTTTTCCACCATCCAGACATTTCGATTCAAGTCAAGGGGCTGAATTTGACAACTGCAACTTCTTCAAGTAGAGGATATAAAAAAAAAAAAAAATTGCATTTTTAGAGTGGGACTCACCTAGGTCCCAGGGGTGATGTGATGGAATAGAAAGGTAAAATTTGACACAATACGCTAACACATCATGAGTTAAGTAGTAAATTGATCCCATGATTAATCTGTCTAATTATAATGGGGTTAGGAGTTAGTAGTTAAAGGGAGAAGAAGAGGATGGATGGCTTGAACTCTAGTACTCACACCGAACCGTGAGGCTCACCCACCCCACTTGGGCAGCAAGACACATCCAACTAAGTTGGATTGAAACTTATATTTTTTTCAGGTTTTATTGTTTGATAAAGAATTATTAGTAATTTAAATAATATGATGTTTTGTTTTTATAAATAGGTCACGTATAATCCGTTTAATAAATAAGTCGGGTTTGTATTTAGAATTTTTGATATGATTATTAAACGGGTTGTATTTGGGTTGAATTATTTAGTATAATATCCTTAAATTGATATGATACGGTTATGACCCACATAAATTGCAACCGATGAAAGGGACATTTTCAATTGAATCACAAAATGCATCATGTTATTTTTCTTTATTTTTATTTTTATGTTTTTGTAATGCAACAAATTTGAATAATCAATGCTCAACTAGTCGATATGCTGATTGAAGCCTCGTGGAGTCTTTGCAAAAGACATTTAAGCAGTGTGTGAAAATATCTGGAGTACAAAATAGTGAAATACAATAGCATCTCATCTCGCCTTGCAAATTAAAGATGTGCCCCACATTACATCATTCACTTTTTCAAAATGAAAAAGTTATTTTTATAAAATGTAAAACGATGAAATTTCACTGTGATATAAGTATACATTTGCAAGATCCAAATATTTGATCTTTAAATAATGTGAGTTCAAAATGTGGGATAAATTTTATTGAGTAATACTTATGTTATCAAAATATTAATGGGTTTAGTGATATCAGGATAATGTCTCTCATCATATAAATCAGTCAGAGTTGTTTGACTTTTAGTAAAATATTTTTTAAACCAAAAAATTTCATGTAAAATGTTATTTTTTGGTGTTTGGTATAAAATATTTTTTAAATCAGTTTTTGTGCATAATTAATTCTCTTATTCTTCAGGGAGTAGTACTCCCTGAACCATCCCTCCCTCTTCTTCATATTACTTTCTCTCTCCACTGAGAACATGCTCTTGATCCAAATTTGTTCCATCCTCTCTCTACCTAGGCAAAATTTTAAATGTGAGACTCTTTATGTATAAGGTTTCACATGAGCAAAAAAATTATTTGAGTGCAAAATTTATATTTAAATCAGACCATAAACACATAAAATATATTAAGGTTGAAAACATATAAAACAAAAAATTTGTCTTCATTCTTTATAAAGAGCACAATCCAATTTATATTAAAAAATTTAAAAATATTCAACACAACTTAGTCACAAAAATCAAAATTCAACTTCATATCAAAATAAATGTGACTGTTTTATATTTTGAGATGCAAAATTGAAATGCTCCAATCACTGTCATAAAAATTATATATATATTTTTTGGGAATGTAAATATTGTATAAATGAGAAATAAGTACAAAATTCAATGGCCAGGCCATGATCAAAGGCCCAG